CTTTTCAGTATGTTCTGCGATTTGCCTTTTATTAATTAATTGTAATGTTTAATGTATTGTTGTTATTAATTGAAAATTTTGGCAAATTAAATTTTGTTTCTAAATTTTTATCAAATATATGTTGCAGTTGATAAATTTGGTTCTTTGTTTTCTGTGGTCAAAATTCCTTTCATAATGTTTTTTCACATTGCAATCAGTTGCTCCATTTTTCTAATAGCACACAGTTGTGGACCGATGGAAGGTATGATAATATTTTTAATTCTATAATTACTTTTCCTTAAAATATTATTATCAGTTCAAAATGTCAATACAATAATTTTCTTGTTAATCATCAGTACCATTTTAACTTTCAAGTCAATTGTTGATTTTGCATTTGGTCTGAAACCACCCATTTTATTCAGCCGAACATGTGATAGGTTGTGATCTAAACTGAGCGAAGTAATCAAATCTAAATTTTAATTAGTATTTTTCTTTATTTCAGGTCTTCCAAGAAGCAATCGGCTAACGGTAGAATTTCCAAATGAAAATTCTACTGGTCGTAATATACATTCCTGGATCCTTGGCATTGCAGAAGAACCTACAACTATAGCAACAATAACTGAAGACCTTACAACTGAAGAGCCTACAGTTACAGCAACAGCAACCGCAGACCCTACAAATGAAAAGCCTACATCTGTAGCAACAATAACCGAAGAGCTAATTATTGAAGAGCCTACAACTGAGATTCCCGTTTGATCTTTGATTAGATATTCTTAATTCTTCGCGATCGCACTGACTCGATAGTCTTAGATCCTATGATTTCATTTTTTGTCATTTATCTGTCAACGATTCATTTCATTTCATTTGCTATTGATCATTTATTTTGTCATTAAACTAAAACTGACAATATCAGACAATTTGGCGAAACTTTGTTATTATCCGCGGATTATAACTGCAAATCAGAAATGATTACTACTCTCAACCACTACTCTAAACTATGATATTGTTAAACTATGCAACTGTTAACTTTATGTAATACTACTGTAAAACCGGATTTTCTGGCGTCCCTCTCTGCAACGGGTTACCCAAAAAACCGGTTAATAATCAATTTTTCCGATGAAATCACAAAATAAATTTCATGAATGTTAAAAACTGAAGTGTATTCCATCCGGAGTACTAATACTAATAAAAGCAAAACTAAATTTAGTAAATGTAAATCAGTTGTTACTGGTTACTAACCGGTATTTTTATGCACCTCTGAGGTTTTTATGTACCGCTCGCAAATTTAGATCTGTTGGGGTTTGCTATATGATTGCTTCGATTGTGATAAGTTGGTTTCATCCTTTATTTTTTCCAATATATTTCGATGTATTTCGATCTTCTGCACAGAAAACTGATTTGACCTTTGCGTTGTGTGAAATTTTTTAATTATGAGAAAACAAAAAATTACTTGTGATAAATTTTATTGTTTTAATAAATGCCATATCATTGACAATTTTGTTTTATTTCATATTATTATTATTATTCTCATATTATTTTTTGGATTTTTTACTACGGCTTTGATTGATAGAGGTGTTGTTTTTTGGTGGCAATTCTTTTAAATTTGACCTTCTTATTGTTTACTTAGGAACAGTATTAATTTATGCGTACATTTTTTTCATCAATAATTTTAATTAAAATTTTAGTAGCTAATAATCATGGTTCTGTAGATTGTGATGTTGGTTATTGCCGTTCTTTGCCTCTATGACCAGAAAGATTGACACTCCTAAAAAAACACTCCTAAAAATATCAAATTGTAAGTACGCGCAAATATTATTGCAATAAAATTGATCAACACGATAATATCGGGAAGATATCAGAAGTTTGGAAATCATTATATGAGGCAATCAATATTCAAAGGATTCTGATTCCTAAATTTTAATTGTTTAATTGTTCTTTTTAGATGACACAATATCTTCTTATCAGAGCTCATCTACGCGTCGAGATTTCATCAGAGCAATTACTTTAAATATCAGTGATTCTTGAATACTTTATAGCACTGAAATGTAAGAAATTATTATGCTACACAGATTCACAAGCATCCATAAAAATTACTTGGTACTTTGATTTGTAAGGTGGTGATTTTTTTCGGAAATAAAATTTAATCGTTGTTTAAAACAACGATTAATTCAAAAATTATTTCTATCATCTGTCGCTATATCTCTTAATTTTGCATAGTTATTCAATGTATTAGTATTGAAATAAAACGATGCCTAACTACATAGCAATGAAAATTATCTTAGATAAGTTATGATGAGAGTGATAAGAGTTTAATGAAAATTTTTGATTACGGATCAACGAAACTTAATAGAAGTTAAATTTTCTTCTGCAAGTTACTATTTACACTTCTTTTTTTGTTTAGCAAATAAACAAGAGTTACATAGTAGATATCTTCAAAACCTGAATTAATCATTTTAATTTACAATTCGATAAATAGTTGAAATTGATTATATTCAAAGAAGATCAGAAGCAATTCCCTTTGATCTTCCATCATTCCCTCGGTATCTACTTTTCTTATTCGCTTGAAAATTCTTTAAAAAAACTGAAAATTTGAACTTGTAGAATGAAATAGATGAAGCCATTAAGTATAACAAATTAAGCATATCATTAATTAACACCTTATCATTATTATCACATGTGGGAAGAGGAGATTGTATTCATATTATAATTCATTACTAAACTTGCCAATGTTAGATTATTTGCTAAAAATCTAAGAACAAATCTAATAAAATTCGTTATTGCAAAAATTTGATTTAAATTTTTAAATTATTTGATAGTATTACTAATTTTAATTTTTCTGAGTATTGGAAATTAAATTAACAAAGAGGATATTCATTGATCTTTTGCATGATTGTAGAAATTAGTGATAAGAATTGTTATAGGAATACTTCGTGCAAACTAATAATAGAAATTAATCAAATTTTAAGCGCAGAATATTTTGTTAGAAAACTATTGAAGACGATATTTTTCTAGTTGTAGTAAAATGTTATCACTATCAATGACAACTTATAAAGAAGATACCATCATTAGTAATCTATTCTGTTATAGGACTTCAAGTATCACCTTGTCTTCGTATATTTGTATCATATACTGTATATATCTATATCATATACTCTCATGTATTGTGCATATATATAATATATTATTGAATCATATATACTATATATACCATGTATTACCACGTATTATACGATATATATTATATATATACCATGTATTACCACGTGTATACCACGTATTATCGTATACTAATTCAAGTGTAAAACGTAACTATTATAATAAGAATTGGCAGAAGTAATGGATATATTTCTTAGTACTACCACATCAGATGATTTTTGCATATTATTCTGTGTACTCATTAATATTAAATTTATTCCTTTAAAATTTTTATCACTTAATTCACTCTATAATAAGCATAGTAATTGCAATTATAATAATAGCAAGGATAATTGATAATATCAGTGATAAACAATTGTTGAAACAGACAATAAGTAAATGATTAAATAACAACGTCTTTGTTCCCTCTATCGGTATTTAAGAAGCGACAAATCGAAGGATATTGGCTGCACAAGAATTCAATTGCTTCATTACTATATGGAGTGCCGCCAGTGGAAGCAGGAATAACTGAAATGTCAAATTAAATCATCGGAAATGATTAATCGAAATAATAATGCATTCTATGAAATATTTAATTTATTTAAATTAGTATATGATATGCTTGAAAAGTTCAAAAACATTTAAAACTTGGCACAAGATATCAAATAAAAAACAAAAATATAATTTGAATAATTGGTAGTGCAGTATAAAAGTAGCAAAATACTGCTAATATGCTAATATTATCATAGAAATTATAATACTAATGTTTTTACTTAAAATTAGTGTTAGTTAATAATTTTAATTTAGAATTAAAAATATTCATTTCAAATAGCAATTTTATTACCGTGATTATTACTGCGAAGTGGAGATGGTTGACATCCGTATGTCCATGTAATTAATGAAGAGAAAAAAACAATACAAAGAAAATGAATAGCTTTGCAATGTACGTACGTAGACATTTCGTAGCAAATGAGATGTAAATTATGCTAAAAAGGACTTTAATAATAGTAAACAAATGAATAAAATAATACCTAAAAACTAATTATATAAAACAAAGCGTCGTTATCTCCTTTTTTAACTAAATTATTGCAAATAATTATTTCTTTTCAATGTATAAAATGAAATAATACTGCAAAATTTTACAAAAATTTAAATTTAAAAATATGCAAAGGAGAAAAGATCTAAAATAAACTAAATTAGCCTAAAATTTTTTCCAATGTTAAAGAGAAAAGAACTCGGAACATTTCCTATACGTCACCTATAATTCATCCACTATTTGCAATCATTACACCTGTCCATATCATACATCTATATATATCACTATCTTTTAGTTTTCTTTTATTTATATAAAAGTCATAAAAATTTTTATGAATGGCAAAAATGAAACTGCTTAGACTAATGTTTCTACAACAATTCCAATATAAATATTCATCACCGTCGATGGACAAATATTTTATACACTTTTCAATTAAATCAAATATCTAAAATAATTTACAATTTTAACTTTTCATTTAAATAACTCCAACAACTCCAATTTTCTTGTTCCATTGATGAAAGTTCCACAAAAAAATTTGGTTTTTAATTAAAGCACGATTTTTCAAAAATAAATGGATTGATAAATGATAAGAATGTTTAAATAATATATTCCTGTTTTTAGGAATAAATATTCATCGATCACATTGTAATATTGGAGAAAAGTATATATCTATTACGAATAGATTTTCTCCGATATTACAATGTGATCGATAAATATTTGTTATTTATAATATGTAGTGAAATTATGGTTAACTCAACGGTAATTTTATAAAATGTTATTTAAAAATGTATCATACTAATTATATGATGATTATTTTATGAAATGATCGATCACAATTTTACTAAGTATGTTTAAAAGAATAATTTCATTTTTAAGAATTCTCTAAATTTCCTATATAATTTTTGCAACTTTTGCGACTTAATTAAGTGCAATGATGACAAGCTTCGAAAAGAAAGTTTTTTTTAAACGAATAGATATCTAATAAATTTTACCGATATTAATCATATTATTACATTTGGAATTTTTGTTCGCACTGTTGAAAAAGAAAGTTATTCATTGGAGCCTAGTAAGGTTATATTTAATTCGCGGTTAAAGTCATCATTTCAAGTCAATTCAATATCACATTGCATTTCAATAA